TCCTATACTAGGTCTTCATGTTATTACTATTGAGAATATGCAAACACTGGCATTGTAACCAAAACAAAACAAATGTATTGAAGAAAAAGAAAAAAAAAGAAAAAAGAAAACCACCCTTTTCTGCTGAAAAATAATAGGCATTTTAATAAAATGAACCCCAAGTTGAATAAAACCATAGCTCTCGATTAATTCCAGGAACTGAGAAAAAGGACTTCACTGAAAATTAACTTTTTATTGATGAATTTAAGAGTATTCACAATATTAATTATATTTCTCCTTATACATTATCTAAGATGCTGAATGAGGGAGAAGAGCTGGCTAGGTACCAAGATCCTGCAGCCATGCTTCAATGAATACAAAAGAATGCTCTACTCTTCAGAGTAATAAATACAGTGCTTTTGCATCCTGATCCAGTTTACTTTAGGAACTTGAAAGTTTTTTGTTTTTTTTTGTTTTTTTTTTTTTTTTTTTAATATCACACATCTTTTAAGTAACCATATCTACTGAGCCCTAATTCTAGGGCTTTCATGTATGGTATCTTGCTTAAATTCTGACAAACACTTACAATGTGATTAATTCCTCTAAGACTGCCATTCATTTGATGTTAGATTTGTAGAAGCACAGAAAAGAAAAGATCAGTGGTCCCAGAGAACTACTCCCCCACCCTCGTTTCACAACCCCTGTCCACACCCTCCTTTCACAAGTCTCTCCTCGATATCTTAGTTACACAATATTTAAGTGACAGTTTGTCTGTAGGTGTGTGGTTGTTGTTCCTAGGTAAAGAAATTCCTAGGAAACTCTAAGGAAAAAAAAAAGTCCAATCATAAAAACCTGGCTGAGTATGATTCAAAGGGAAAAAATGAGGCGCAGTGAAAGCCAGTTTGAGCTGGAAAGATTTGCACGCTTAAGTAATCAGACATGTGTAGCCACTTATGAGGCTGTCTGATTACACGTTTTTAAATATCTGTCAGCACAATCAGAATCACATGCAGAATCCAGCACCCATGAGCACCGTGAAGGTTTGCTGGTCTGTGAAGTCTCAGAATCTGCAGGAAGTGAATCAATTTCACAGGTTGAACGTAGGTAGCTATTGCATAAGTTGGGGAAAGCCTGGGAAGCGGCTCCCGGAGCCTGTGACTCACCGGCTTGGACAATGACACCTTAAGGGAAACTGGAAGCAGCGGTAAAACGGACAGGGCCCCCAGAGAAGGCAGGAAGTACCAGGCAGCAGAAGACGCCAGGGAGCTATAGCTTAGCTGGCGACTTCAGGACTAAAGCTGAACCTAATATCGTTTCTTTCATAGGATCAAACAAACTCCCAGTGGACTTCCCCTCAGTGAACAGCAACCATCTCCAAAGTGCAAAAACAGTTCTTCCCAACCTGCAGCGTTGGTTCTCCCTCTGAAAATGTCGTCGTAAGCTTTCCACTGCGGCTTCAGCTGGTAGGCGTGGATGAACACCACAAACACCACCACCAGGCACATTAGAGGAACAAGCGCCCCCGTGAACAGAGCAGCATAGATGTTGGGGATGGAGCATCTGAAAGAGAGGAGGAAAGGATGACAGGTTCAGTACCCATATTTCTAAACTCAGAATGCATATTTATGGTAGCTCTTTACACCCAGATGTTGGCAAAAGCAAATTTAGGCTTAACAAAGTAAAGCTTTGGTAGGGAAGAGGTTTCTGAGCTCTACCTACTGCTTCACAAAGGAGGATCCTGTGGTACATTCATCTTCAGAGCACATGAATGTTATTATATATATAATATATATTTATATTATATATTTATTTGGTCTTTTTGAGACAGGGTCTCCCTGTAGTTCCAGCTGTCCTGGAACTCACTATGTAGACCAGGCTGGCCTTGAACTCACAGAGATCCACCTGCCTCTGCCTCCCGAGTGCTGGGATTAAAGGCATGTGCCACCATGCCCGGCCTTATTATTATATATTTTTGAAGACAGGGTCTCCTTGTGGTGGCAGCTAGTCTGGAACTCAATATGTAGACCAGGATGGCACCATTTCACAGAGATCCTCCTGCCTCTGCCTCCCAAGTGCTGGGATTAAAGGCATGTGCCACCACGCCAAGAGCCACATGCATGTCATTTCAGAAGACTGTATAGGAAGTTATAGCATTAGCATGCCTGGGCTTCACAATCAGAGTGGCACTGAATCCCAGCACCACATCTTGAATAACTGACTGAGAGTACTTCGCATTTCTATGTCTTTATCTTTTTTTTAAAAAAGGTAGTAATAGTATTTACAATAATAGTTATGAAAATTAAATGAATTAATTCACTAAATTTTCCCCACTATTTCTAGACTTAAGTAACAAGGGAACTCCTCTCCTTTCCACGCATACAGAGCTGTCTCCTCTTTCCCACCCGCTCCTTCCCTCCTTCCCTCCCTCCGTCTATCTCTCCTCCTATCTCCTTTTAGGGAGATGACACCAAAACGCTTCTTCACCTTGTTTTTACCAGCTCCATCCTCTTTGCCTAAACACTGGCTGGGGACCATGTGCGAGAACATATTCTTCAGAGGCAAATCTGAGTGCTACGAGCTGGGGACATGGCTCAGTCGGTCAAGTGCTTGCTGCACAAGCATGAAGACCTATGTTTGAGCTTCAGCACTCCTGTAAAAGCCAGTTATGGTGGCTTCTGCTTGAATCCCAGCACTGGAGAGGTAGAGACATGCCAATCCCTAGGGCTTGCTGGCCAGCCAGCCTAGCTTCATTGGCAAGCTGCAGGCAAATGAGAGACCCTGTCTTAAAAAAAGAAGATGGGGCCTGGGCATGGTGGCTCATGCATGCCTTCAGTCCTTTAATCCCAGCATTCAGGAGGCAGAAACAGGTAAATCTCCATGAGACTGAAGCCAGCCTGGTCTACAAAGTGAGTTCCTATCAAGCTGGGGCTGCAAGGAGGGAAGACAATTTTCCATTTGGAAGCTATACTGCACATCTGTATCTGTTATTTCTGGATTATTTTTGTGGGTTTTTTTTTTTTTTTTTTTTTTTTTTTTTAGACAGGGTCTCCCTGTAGCCCCAGCTGGCCTGCCTCCCAAGTGCTGGGGCTAGGATTAAAGGCGTGCTGCCAGGCATTCTAAGGATTGTTTCTAGTGGGGGTTCCTGAGATTCTTCTCCCATAATAGTACATAGCAGGCAGCATGAAGAGCATAACCTTTTATTGAGGTGTGAAAATTCATTAACATCTCTGCAAGAGCAGTCAGTGCTCTTAACTGCTGAGCCATCTCTCCAGCCCCTCCTTCGTGTATTTAAGTGCACCACACTTGCATAATAGCCATGGAGGGAAGAAGAGGACATCAGATCCCCTGATACTGGAGTTATAGGCGGTTGTTAGTTGCCATGTGGGTGCTGGGAACTGAAACTGGGTCCTCTGCAAGAGCAGCCAGTGCTCTTAACTGCTGAGCCATCTTTCCAGTCCCCAAATTAGAAACTTTTTTTAACCACAGATGTTACCAATCAATCCTAAACACAGCAGTTGAGAAATCTCAAAGGCAAGACCAGCATAGACCACTAAGTTTCCATTGATTAAAATACTAGGAGGTGGGGCTGGAGAGATGGCTCAGCGGTTAAGAACACAGGTTATTCTTGCAGAAGACCTTGGTTCGAATCACAGCACCCACATGTCAGCTAAACATCTGTCTGTAACTCCTGTTCCAGGGGATCCGACAGCCTCTTCTGTCATTCGTGGGCATTGCACACGACACGGGTGCTCTGACCTACATGTAGGCAATACACACATACACATAAAATAAAAATAAATATTTAAAAATATGTTTAGAAGAAAAGAAAACTTCAAAACCCAAAATCTAGATAACTGGAGAAATTCATTCTTGTGGGGATAATAATGAAGTGATGTCTCTATTTAGAGTTTAAACCAGAGGGCTAGAGAGATGGCTCAGTAGTTAAGCGTGTGTACTGCTCTTACAGAGGACCCAAGTTTAGTTCCCAGGGGGATCTGATGCTCTCTTTACTCCCATGCATATACCCCCTGCCCCCATACATATAAATAAAAATAAAAATGTATCTTAAAAATAATGCTTAAACTAAGATGCATTATTAAGGGTTCTCCTTAATTGTCAGTGATAATGAACATGAATCACTAAATGATAAATAAGACACATTTTAAGAGATACTTCAAAACATTCCACATCAGGAAAGAGATGTCAGAATGATGAATTTCCTGGTTTTAGAATTTAATTTGGAAGACAAAAAGCCAGAATCACTCTTTGTATAGCTAGCTCTGTGCAGTGAGACCCATTTCTTCTAAGTTAAAAACCCATGATCAACATGCTCAGATGCCGAGGAGCTCAGAAGGTGGGTGACTGTGACCAGTGATAGTCATGTATATAGAGATTAGAAATGCATGTGAAAACGTCTCAATGTCAATTGCTTTGGAATGAATTCTTCTGTATGAAAAAAAAACAAAAACAAGTATCTTCTTGAAGTCCCTCAAATTAAGGTAAAGAATAAGAACAAATCATTCTGGAAGAACGCAAAGGAAAATAGCTTTAGATACTTAAGTGACAATAGAATTTATTCTCATAATTGTTTTAATAGCTTTTGTATAATCCTCATCGCTATTATGAGATACAAAATGTATTTATCAAATCTGTAATCATTATGCCAAAAAATCTGTATTACTGTAATATTTTGCATATTGTTAAAACTGTAACTTTAATTGTAAAAAAAAGTTCTTGAAGAATTAATAAATGCTTTAAAAAGTAAAAAAAAAACCATGATCAAATAAAAAAGCAAACATCAATGGTTTTGATAAGGAATATATTTCTGCAAGCAGTGGGTATGTTATGTTGTTGGCTCATCATTTTTAACATGGCTTCAAATGACTACCAATCCTTTTTCATTTGAATGACACATCCACAGACAGAATTCCAGAACTGATGAAGGAAGGCGTGAGACATGGGTTCATTCCACTACCTTACTTTTCACTTTGAAAAATGTCAACCCAATTAAAGTACTGAATTCAATTATTGAACCTGTTGAGATTTGAGTTATGAGTATAAACATTTCATACAGAGTGCCATGGCTTTGGTACAATGGAGAATGCGGTCGAGTATCTACAATCTCCTTTGGCAACCAGCAGATAGGAGCTCACCTCTCTATTTGCAAGAATTTCCCAAGAAATTCTTAATCCTTGAAAGCTGACCTCTCAATCAACATGGCATCTTGGTTAAATAATGGAACAGGCAAAGCAGACACCCAGCAGGTCAGAAGTAACTGGGCATGCTCACAGCACCTTTCAGGGAAGAGAGGGGAATCCCCAAGAGCTACTGCTCTGTGACATCACCTTCCCAGTTCTCCTTCCACTCCATGTATGACTTTGCCGTGATGGTTCGTTCACCAAAAGAGCCAGGAATAGTACCCGATCTTAAAGCTTTCCTTTTCTCTGTTTCTTCAGAACCCCATCAGACATGACCTGTCATGAATGTAGGCCCATAAGAGTGCCCCACATCCATCACCCACACAGTTAGTGTGGGCCCAGATCATTAAGGAGGAATGCTTTGGTCCCCCAGCATCTTGATTGGCAACCCTCCTGCTGTCCTTTCTACCAGAGGTCCAGCAGCACTTCAGGACCCTCTCCTTTGGACACATTTATAAAACTGTGACACCATCCATTTCCCTCTCATGATGACAACAACTTTCCTTGTGTGCTACTGACTAGGGGGTCCAGCAACAGTTCTGAAACACAAACATTTGCAAATGAAACATGTCTCCTGGGGTAAGAGACTGGGCTTCCCAGATTCAGCCTATGGAAAAAGGCTGGACCAGAATATGTCACTGCACATCCCAATTATAACACATTCTTAACACCTTATCATAAAATCTCTTTTCACTTCTTTTAAAACTAACAAGCATTATTTTAATAAGCAACATTATCCGAATAGGATTTCTACTGATATGAGGACACTTACTAGATATACTTAAAAGTGCCAAAAATAAATATACTGTATCTTATCCTTAAAAAAGAAAAAAAGCCTTGCCAGTCAGAATCTTCTCCACTCTAACAAAATAGTTGTAAATCCTGGTAGTTTGAGGATTAGAAAGTGATACAGGCACTAAGAAGCTGTGAGTATCATTGTAGAATAGTCTCCAGATGAGGGCTAGGGACCAAGTCTGGAAAAACTGAATATAAGGATGAGCAGACCGAACAGTGTGTGCACACCAGGGCATGTAGCTGTGTAACATGCTGGCAGCCACTGCTTTAGGAACAGACCTAGCAGAACCTAAAAAATAGATGAAAGCCATGTGGATTTCCTTACTTTAAAAAGGTTAGCAAAGCAGGTTCCTCCGAATTCCCAGCCCATCCAGCTTCAAAGGACTCTGGTGACCGTCCCTCCCAGGGCATTGGACAGTCTTTTAGGTTTTTGCAGTCACTTTACCATTTTCACTGTTCCCTTTTAAACTTTCATAGGAACCCCATGCACCCCCCTCCCACACACTTATTACTGACAATCCTAGTGTTTTAAAATCTTGTCAGGACTTCATTCTTTCCTCTATTTTT